CCAGCACCGTAATTATTAACACTTCTGTTTGTTTAGATAATATTAGCCGACCTTACTTTAATTTTGCTGGAAACCCATCCATCTGATTTTCGAAGTAGATACTTAAATATGAGCCGCTTTCAACCACCTCAATATCGACAATATCATATAAATGACTTCCTTGAGTTCAAGAAAGGATGTCCTCCTTTGATTTTGGTGGATGTCGATGTACTTTTATGTGCTCATGGCACCGGATAATACAGGCGCAAAAAAATCAAATACGGTACAAAGAAAAAAAAAGACAAACGAAAACGTGACAAATAAGCAGGTTAACCTGGCCGGCTGACCCGACGCAACCTACCCATGTGGTACGGGGTAATTATGTCGCATTTAGATAGGGATATCATATTTCCTTGCCAAGTATGGAATCGAAAAACGAAGACTTGACATTGGGCTCACTTCCACCAATGAGGCTTAATGAAGGCGTGCCATGCGAATCCAAAGAAGATGTAGCTCACAAAGAAGTTGCACACTGCCCACTGTTCAGCAGTTATTACTGCAGCTCAGTGGAAGCGCAGATTATTTTGCCTCTCATCGATCAATACTTCGCAGCACTGTACACTCGTCATCGACCGCATTTTCAATTTATATTGTACGGACATCTCTCCGCCATTCGCTGTTTAGTTTATTTAATTATTTACATTTGTTTATGCGGTACAAACAAATCTAGTAATACTAGTAATTGCCGTCTTGCAAAGCTGTAGGTAATCCCTAGCCATGTTGTGCGGAATCTACACAGCCAACAGCGTCGACGTCACGGATGATGACGGTCTGCTTCGCCACGGACGCGTGGTGGACGTGACGGATGACGGGTTCCTCGTGGACTTTCTGTGTTCCAGCGAAGGTCGCCGTCTCCTTCCCTTCGCCAGTAAAATCTTCTCACCTGAACGCCGTCATCCGGAAAAACCAGTGGTAATGTCTTTTGGCCAACCAAAGGCCACTGTCACCGAAGTGCTGATGCGCCAGAATTCCGGCGATCCATGGATTTGGTATCCGGCTGAGTTCGTGCGCAGTTTTTACGGCGTGGCAGTTGTCCAGTGGGTTGACAAGGACAAAGTGGTGCACACGGATATCCGAGTACGCAAGAGAACGCTGAGCGACCGGTAGGCCTAACGGAAAACTATGGTTCACAAGTATGTTTTAAATGTATTATCAATTTGTCACTTGAATTTTTATAGAAATACTGAGAGGCGTGAATTTATAAAGCACGATGTCCTGTTGCCGGCGGAATGTATCTCGATGTCGGCAAAACAGTTGAGAAATCTACTTCACATTCACGCGCCGGATTCCGGTTTATCTGATGATTACTTTACGTTTTCTCTGGTGGAAGTCGCGGATGGACGCCTCTGGTACATCCACCGTCCGAATTCCGCCGGTGTGGCAGAATTGATTCAGGAGGAAAAATCTGTGGTAAGCTAGCGAAAACACACAATCACAGAAATTATCTACTGTCTTCCTCAAAACGATAATGAAGTTTGTACTAAAGGCAAGTATGCGGCGACAACTGCGATAGTAACTCGTAAAAATGAATTGCACGATCCACCCGTCACGCGAACCAGTCTATGCTGGTAGCAATAAAGTGCCAACAATAAAAGCATAAATTCGCAGTTCAAGCTTTTTATTTCAGAAATACCGCGACGAACCTTCAGGGCGTTTTCTCAAGTGGTTGACCGGGCTTTTGCGCCCGTCAGCATCTTTCGCCGCCGGAGATGAATCAGACGCTACGATGCTATCGGTGGAACTTTGGACGGAGGTCTTCTCTTATCTCAACACACAAACCCAGAACTCTCTCCGCGCTGTATGTTCTACGTGGGACACCATTCTGCAGTTGCCCATACTGGCGGCCAATATTGTTATCATATGGAGCGACGACGAAACCGTTCGTCTGGATCGTCTTCGGTACTGTACACTGGCTCCTATCTTCAAGTGTCTGCGCCCGTCCACCAAGACCTTAACGGTGGCCGACACATCGCTGCTGGGAGCCGATGTTACTCTGGAAATACTGGACATGGTGCAGTATGTTGCCCAGCAGATCGGCAACATTCGATTGGATGTTATCCGGATCATCGGCGCGCGGTGCTGTCTGCACTGTGACCACAGCTATCTGCTGGACGACCGCCGCGAATGTCTGTTCCACCGAGCAGACGCGGAAACCGCTGTCGGTGAGTACAGAAACGAGGTTGGCGTACGCTGGGATGATTTAACGGCGGCGTGCCGAGGTCTTCCCTGCGACGCCCTGCAGTTGATCAACTTTGAGGTCAACCTGGATTATACCAACGAGTGGACCGAAGACGATCTTTCTCAGTGGATATCGATCCTGAAGATTACAATGCCCCGCGTCAGGATAAACGAGGATTTTGAGGGCGCAGCGTGGGAAGCGATGAATGCCGGCTTAACAGTGCCGAGTGGTCAACAGCAGCAAAAGGTCGCGCACTGGTTGCAAGTGAATGCGGCTGATCTTATAACCAGTACGGCCTGCAAGGTGAGATGTCTTTAGTTATCTTATATCCACTCCAAGGTTGTCGTACTAATGTAAACGATTCTTTAACTTTTTCTTTAACAGAAACTGTTTTTCTCCAATCAAATGATTTGTGATTACAAATATCTGAATATGTTTTTGAGAACTGCCTACGAGTAGCGAATCGCGATACTCAGACATCCAAAGCTGCAGAACGTATTGAGCGCGCAGACATCAATTTTAAACTCCGTTTTCGCCGTTAGCATGTATTCACTATTGGATACAATATTGGACTGGATGTTTATGATACAAAATTATTGTTCTGTGCTAGATTCTCTGTGCGTCGCATACAGCGGATCCGCGGTCGTCGTTGCAGTATCGCGAGAAGAAGTGGTGCTTGGACGGCATGAAGGACTTGCGAGTGGAAAAATTATCGTCCCTTGCGCAGCATTTCCTGATGAAACTGCAGAAATCTTTTGGAAAATCAGGTTTGCATCATTTATAATCTAAGCCCCAAGAAATGCTGTTCTTCAAGTATTCTTCAAAACGCGCTGCAGCTGCAACTCTGCAACCACTGCAGCCTGTAACAACTTAATGCCGCTTGATTACCATACAGTTTGACAGCAGGACTGCTGTAAATAAGCAACTTATTTATACTTCTTCATCATGCTGCCAAGCGTCGATTTGCACATTTAAGGGTGACGGAAAGCAGGGCAACCTTGCAGCTGTTGTGCTTATTTTTTAACATTTTTTTCTCTTTGCTGTTGAATTCTCACCGGATTTTTCGAAAAGGTCCCGCTGAAAAAATGTCAGAAATCACCGGCAAGAAGAGAAAACGTTCGAATAAGGATGCCGGAGCCGCCTGTCAGGAAAGGGCAAGCGCAGCCGGCGGAGGCGCTAAGGGCGAACCAGGTGCTAAGAAAAAGCTTGACAAGAAAGCCCGGATGGAGTCAGAGGATGATGACCATGACAATCACAATATCGACTAAACTCATTCCCTATGCCCTGTGAATGTGCCGCGTTACTAAATGCGGCGCACGTTTTTACTATTTTTTCTTGCATGTTCTTTTCTCCTACAGTGGCCGCTATTGTTATTAATTTGTTTTTTTTATTTTCTCTATCCGCAACAGGCGCAATTGAGGGCACGGCGCACAGTAGCATTGAGCGTGGCGGGTTTCTTTAGGTACGGTAGGATGCGTTGCGGCGGTTGAAATGCTTGTCACCGTTGATATTTGCGTTATTCCGTGCACAGTTTTGCTTGTTTTGCACAAAAAGTTTGCTGTAATCATCTTGTAACTCAGCTTGACATGCTGCGAAAAGTGCGAAGCTTTCACTACAAACTTACAGTTTTTTTTCAAACTGAACATATTAAGTCAAAGCAATTTATTTCGGACTTATCCTTGATGAAGATGATGAAATTGAGTAAAACTGAGTGTGGAAAATATTTTGCATAGCGCATTCTACAGATCTGTATTGCTTCCATTAAGCAACGTTTTAGTTGTGTTGTCCATAATTTTAGAATATAATTTTCAACGTCCCGCTGCAAATTTTGGAAAATGCTACAACTGCGAAAAACGGACGCAGCAACATAGCGTTCTCTTGCGAGTTCAAGGTAAGTACTCTGAAAGTTCGTATAAAGCGCTTGGGCAAACGTCCAGTAACATTAAATGTCATTAACTGAAGAATTTAAACTTTCAAGCCTAGTTTAACAACGGCACGAAATAAATGCAAAATAAAGGAACTTCTGCGTTTTGTCCAGCTGGCAACTTCAGATGGTCGGTCGATGGGCAAATTAACCGGTGAAAGTTAACATTTAAGTAGTGTTGGGCCGGCCCGGCCCAGGGCCGCGGCCCGAACGGCCCGAGCCGAGGTCAGCCCGGCCCTTTTGGGAGGGCCGCGCCGGGCCGCGGCCCTCGGCCCGGGGAGAAGGGCCATGGCCCGGGCCGCGGCCCGGGCCGTGGCCCGTTGTGGACGTTAAATATGGAAAAACAAAAAATTTCATTGGGATTTACTGAAATTTAGTAGTTTTCGATGAGTTTTTCTTAATTTTCATAGCATTAAACGTTTCTAGACGAAAATCCGTCTATTTTTCCGTTGACATACCCGCTGTAGCCGCTTGCATAATGACATCCGGGAATGAAATATTACTGTGCTGCAAGACGGCCCGGGCCGCGGCCCGGGGACATGTCGGGCCGCAGCCCGGATCGGCCCGCGACCCGGGCCGTGTAAACGACGGCCCGGCCCTCTTGCTCGGGCCGGGCCGCGCCGGGCCGGGCCGGGCCGACCCAACACCACATTTAAGTAGTAGTATTTTATTGAGCCAGCTCAAGTACGACACTACATGTAACCTGATGTAACTGCAAAATCTCTAGGTACGCTGCAAGCTTCTGCATCTGGTAGTCTGTGGCGATAAGATAAAACTGTTTGTTATCAGTGCACTGAATCGGTCATTTTGCCATTTCACCCGTGCTTTGTGAAATTGTGATTTGTGAAATGGATGCACGGTGCCAGTGCCGTAGTTGTGTTCATCGAAGTAGTATTGCAGCGATCGAAGAGCTGGTTCTGCAGGGGCGGCGCTGGTGCCCTTTAAGTAATAGCCAACTTCTATACTTATTTCTTAAATTTTCCGAGTATAGAATATTGTTACTACGTTATACTCGGTGCAGGAGAAAAATGGCAGCGTCGCATATTCCCGTCGTTGATTTCCAGACTTTCAACGATCCAGCCACCCGAAGCACGTTATCTCAGCAGCTCGTGGATGCGTTCTGCAGCACGGGATTCGTTTATCTGCGCAATCATGGAATCGATCAGGAACTGGTGAGCTTGCTACTGACTCTTTAAACTGCAAAGCAGAAGACATAAATGTAATTATAATCGCAATGATTACGCAAAATAAGTTCGTCTGTTCGACTGTGGCGAAAGAGTGGGTATTTATGCTTTCGCCATCTTATACCTGCGAGGTATTCCGCATGCCGAAATCAGGTTGGAATACAGTTATTTAGTTTGTAATTAAATTTTACAATATGTGCAGATCGAGTCAGCATTCTCATCTTCTAAAGAGTTTTTCACCTCACCGATTGACGAGAAAGTTAAGTACCAGCGGCAACCTGGATCGACCGTTAGTGCCGGCTACGTTGGTCAAGGGAAGGAGAGGTGAGAGATTGTTTTACGTTTCCACGATACCAAGCTTTGATTTCACCAGCGATATATGACTGGCACCGTTTACTGACGTTACTGACGTTATTTTACTGACAACGAATAGATGATAAGTATTCATAGTAAATAAGTCAGTTGCAGTTGAACAAGTCATTTTTATTAACGAATCTTTTATAAAATATTTTCAAAGCACATTATACAGTATCAGTTTGTATGCGAAATATTTAAACTGAATTTTAAGTTTTTAACAGATTAACCGCTTACGTGGATGCCGAACATGGGATTAAAGAAATCCGAGAATCGTTTGATATCAGCGCGTACGGCCTAAATGTACGTACAAGTAGCTCCGGATGTCTGTGGGTCAACTCCTGTCATTGCAGTGTTTACAACTGCGTGTTTAATATTTAATATTGCTTTTACACCGGCCATTATATCAAACTAAAAACAATAATTACTGCTGCAATGATTTTACGCAAAAAGCGATACTGCAGTTTACGTAAAAATTTAAGAATATTATTGACAAAATGTTGTCCATTACCAAGCACCGATATTTAGAAGCAAACAGATAATTTTATGTAGCCGTTATAATTTGTCTTGCAGCACTTGCCACCCACCCTCCCTCTACCCACATTCGCCGCCCTCTACCAAGCTTTCTGGGACCTCGGCCAAAAGATCCTGGATTGTCTCGCAGTGGGTCTGGATCTGCCGGATCCCACGGTGTTCCGGCGCAGCCATACTCGTGTCGCCCAACCTGGCAGTGGCACGATGTTGCGGACTCTCTGGTACCCGGCGGTGGAGGGCGACGCAGGGGCCAAGGACCAGCTGACGCGTTGTGGGACCCACTCGGATTACGGGACCCTGACGCTGCTCTTTCAGGACAGCGTCGGTGGACTGGAAGTGGAGAACCGGAAGGATGAGTTCGTTCCTGCCACGCCCATTCCGGGATGTGTGCTGGTCAATGTGGCCGATCATTTGCAGCGCTGGACGGCGGATCGCCTACGCTCTACAGTAAGCGCGTGGGCTTAATTATGTTTTTTTTTATAAATTTTAATGCGATGACCTTTTCTGCAATATCATTGACTATTGTTGTGCACAGCGCCATCGTGTTGGATTCGGAGGAAACGTTGCCAAACAGACCAGACAAAGTATTGCCTTTTTCCTGCATCCGGATGATGATGTCGTGATTACGTGCCTGGATGGTTCCGACAAGTATCCGCCATATGTGGCTAGTGATCATCTGCAGGATAGATTCAAGCGTACTTATTAGAAAAAACTCAGACTTACTAGAAAATTAGTGTTGGTTTGCAAACTCGATAATCCAGAGCTAAATAACTGCAAAATATTTTACCGGTGCATGTCCCCACATCGAGCCGTTAAATGCGTTGTTAATTTTTGCTATTTAACCAGAGCAAATTCTCAATGAAAGTACCCGGCAATATTTAACTACGAGTAAATCAGCTTTTAACAGGTCTATGCACCCTCGAATTTACAATAATTTTTTGCCGAAAAAAATATATATCTGCATATCTGCGTGCACACGACCGAAAATGCAAACAACCGAAATTTAAAATACTTTGCCTCCGTTAGAATCTTATGGACTGAATATTCCGGTATCGTGAAGGTCAACCGTTAAGCTAATTTTCGACACCCAGATCCGGAAGTGTCAAATAATGACCTAAAAAGCATGCGCAGCCGTACTTTTCGACTGCTTTACTCGGCTAGTTCTTTGGGAACGGCTCGGTTTACATATTTGGCGATTCATTAATCAGATGACAGAGAGGTGCAAAGTACGATAATTCATTCACGCAAATGACAGTCAATTAAAAATATAACCTTTATGACGATTTCGTCCCTATCCAGGGCATTACAATTATCCGGATAATTTTATTTCTCAGTATGTATAAGGCGAGCTTCCCTCAACAAAACTGATCAAATGAAGAATTTGTCCCAATTAACCTATACTCCTATCCTTCTATACTCCACAATTATCCTATACTCCAGGTTTTCTTGCCCATGTTTAACAAACCACTTCCGGTCAATAATCGAATCTTGGTTTTTTTTAAATTTTTTTCCAACTGAGGAGTACAGAATTACATAATAATCGTAAGTGTGCCAAAACAGTAAGCCATTCTCAGTTTCAAAGTTACAGAGCAGTGTAACGTATTTCTTCGCACCCATCGCAAAACGCCACAAAGAAATGAGCGGGAATCCAAAACCGATAATGTATTCTGCCGGTGCCATACGATCCAATGCACAACTGACCACTGGGCAGTTGGAGTGAAGGGCGGCGCCAAGGGCAGAGGAAGCCGTTCAGTTCTATCTGCACCGGCACGGCATGTGTGCAGCCGGTTATATGCCGTTCTCAGAGCGGATAAGGATGCGCTTCATCTGTCATTATGCTCATCCATCCGCATCGTCACTGTGCAGCTCCAAGTGCCGGTTTCTCCATCCGCATCATATCCAGTTACCGCCGCTGAATTCCACACTGGAGTGCTTTGAGCATTATCTTCATTTTCCCGATTGTCTTCTTAATACTGACAGACATCCGTAATGCAAGAGATATTCACAATCGTTGATCAAATTTCACTTAACTGCCAGTTCATTATTATATGGTCTGGAATATTCGGATTTATCATTATATCGTCATTTGAACGGCCTTGTGATTTTGTGGAATAAGAACCAAGGATAAAATCGGTAAGATGAAAATTTGGTTTTTGGAAACCTGGGAAAATTAAAACGTTTTTAGCTTTTATTAATGCAATAATTCATCATCTGAATTAATTTTAATAGATGGATAAACTCTAACTTAACTTAAGTAAAAAGGGGGCTTTTTTGGAAGCAGAAAAGTAGCGTGCTGCGAAAATAATTTTCAAGTAGCAGTTGCAATTGTTCTTAATAATTGCGCTAAGTGTGCATACAACTCGTCAGCTTAAATTCAAGGGCACTTTCCGTCGAACTTCATGCTTCTGATTACTGTATATCTTGGCTATTGTTTTGCCCATGATTCTCCCGGGTTTTGATGGAGAGCGTGTGGTAATTAGGTGCTAGTTGGCTGTATATAACGTAACAGTGGGAAAATATTTGTCTTACCATCTAAGACAACAATGAGGTTTTGGGTGTCAAGATGGTGTAGCGTTTATTCAAGCAGCCGATTGTTTCTGCTGAAATAATTTTCTTAATCAATCCTTCCGCGTGGCAGGTGGTCACTGTGCGCCTTGGCTCTGATCGATCGGACCCATCGATAGATAGTGCAGTGAGCCACTTTGTCAGTTGTTTGATTTGTGCAGAGATTCAAACCAGAGCACCTGTTGCTTTTGCTTGATCAATCCCCAATCATATATAAGGCGCTAATTGCCCTTAATAAAGCTGTGTATTGTTGGCCGTTGTGTGACGGCCAGCTCCAATAAAACTCTTCTACCGGCTTTTAAAGAGGCCTACTTTTTCCAGCAAAATTTTGCTCGATTGAAAAGAGAAAAACAGAAAAACTACAAGGGAGCTGCAACGCTTTTTTTAACACCTTTAATTTACGTATATGCGAAGAAACCAATGAAGATGCATTAGTTATACGAAATGCTTACTTAAATAAGCGTTTTCCAATAAAACTGGTCTACCGGCTTTTAAAGAGGCCTACTTTCTCTAGCAAAATTCTGCACTACTGCAAAAAGAAAAATTAATAGGAAAATGAAAAGTGAGCTAAACGCTTTTCTTAGCATCTAATTTACTTAAATACGAAGAACCCAAATATCTACATTAGTTTTTTTACGAAATGCCTGCTTTTACATAAGCGTTATAACCGTAGTTAATTTTTAGTACACAATTGCACCGTACGAATTTCTTTACTGCTCCCATAATTTCACAAAGCGACTTAGGAATAACAGTTTGCCCAAAGAATGTATGGATCTCTAAATGTGGATAGGTAATTAAAGGATTTAGTCAAATTCTTTCGGCCGGTGCAGCAGCCGCGCAGAGTGTTATTAGCGCGATTGTTTGAGCAATTAACGGCTTAGCACCACGTCATGATCTGCGCCCGTGTGGTCGGCTGCGGCACATCCTAGTTGCGGCTGCGACCAAATGCCGCATTTCCGGGACCCGGCAATTATCGCAACACGGCACACTTTCAAAATATCAGTCCTGCTGGGTAATTTTTAAGAAATGTTGACAGCTGAAATTATATAGCACTGCACATCTGCGATGAGGGTGGCTAATTTGCTCAAGAATTTACTGTGCATTGTAAATCAAGGAAACTGGAAGCTCAGTATTCTTATATGCATATAAGCCTTATTGTACGTTTCTGTATATGCACCAAATTCTGGGCTTTCGTTTTAACGATATAAATTAGCTGTGTAAAGAACGTTTCCATTCTTTTAAAAATTTTTACGCTTTATGACTACGAAATTCCGTATTAATTGGATCGAAATGTCAAGTGATGCAAGCGGACAATATCACCGCACGCTCTCTCTGAAGTGTTTACAGTTTGTCGAGCAACTGACAAAAGAAAATTATGCAAAGCTTTCTAAGCTTGTAAACGTACAAACTACGGTTTTGCTGAAATTATTCAATACAATATTTGCGGCTACTTTATAAGCGGATTAGAAGTATATTCCGGATGAATCTGAATTTCTGATTGGAGAACTGGATAATCTCGAGAGAAGTTGCCGAACCAAATTACTGCGCAGTCGGCCGGTTCGCTGTGACCGTTGTAGCGACTGTATTAACCTACAACAAAATCTATGATTTTCTGCCAAGAAGTGGCTATTTCGCCCGTATTCTTCGTGTTCATTGGTGTGTGAAGCATACGCGTATTAGATCCGCGGCTGCGTGTTGCTCTCTCTGTCTTTTGCAGCATTCGGTGTTCTCTCGGTCGAATACACACACGCACACAACTCACACTACGCGTGAAGCAAGAGAAGAAACATGTTTAGCAGGTGCACAACACGACACACAGGTGTCGATTTCGTTGCATACATTGTGCCGGTTGGGCCGGGTTGGCTGCAATAATCAACACGTCTTCTTCTTGTGTTATTTCGCGGCTATAACACCATTACTTGGATCAATATATTGAACAGATCACGCTTTAATGCCTCGACAGTTCATTTGCAGTTTGCGACGGTGTTTTTTGGCACGGGATCAATTATTTGGAGAAAGGAATTTTTACACGTATTGCGACAGCCATAAACAACCCGGTAGCCTGAACGTTCTGGGAATTTATTTATCGGATATTTCACTGGATTATACTCACGCCATTGCTGATTAATTATTACTCATTTTTAATCGCCGCGGAATTATCCTGCCGACGAAAAAACGTACGTGCTAAAAATTGTTAATCAAAATGTGAGTGCACTACATATTATACAGCAGCGCCGATTAAAATTATGCAATCATTCTGCGTCGCGCGCGCATTAACACTTATATCCGCTTACGTAATGCGTCTTTATGCAGAGCACACACGGGACGTTACCGGTACTATGAAAATTAATTATATAATTTTTTATTTGGCACTGCAGCTATTTGTGGCAATTTTAATCTCCGGTGAGAAATCAATTGAAAATCGGCTGGAGAGAGAATCTGTGACGTTTGGAGTGCTTGATTTGACCTGCATGAATGCTCATTTTCCCAGATAGATGTATAGACGATAGAGAGACAGAGCAGAGAGAGAGAAAGAGGGACACTGGCTCTCTGCGCTCAATCAAGACGCGAGCGTGTATGCGCATTCTCCATGCTCAGATAACGTTACAGCACTTGACAGTTGATTATCTGCTTCTGGCCCGATAAATTCCTGAATTTCCAATTAGGAAGAATGGGGTCTTCTTCGGAGCATTTTAAATGCAAAGTATAGAACAGAGAATAGTGAAGTAGGTTGTGTGTTTTGAAAAGGCCATTAAAATTGACACGGCTGTGCGTTTGCCTTATATGTACAGCATAACTGCTATCAAAACTTTTATTTTATACTGCATTTTTGTATTGCATTAAAATTATTAATTTGCCAGCACATTGTCATCGTTCTGTTAAAGATAATTATTTCATGTTTTTACGGTATTATTGCGTTTAGATTATCCCAGAAAATTTTTGTGGAAAAGCAGCCGGGTAATTTTCCGTTAATTGAGGAATTTCTTTCGCGACGTTGTTGTGACGGAGTTCTCAAGAACCCTCGCAACGCGGTGCCGTGTCGTAAATAAAGCCGCATTTATGGTGGAATGATGATGATTTAGAGTCTCTACCCACGCAGTGCCAAATTGCCAAGCAAAACCCATTAAGAAAGAACAACTGTGCGTGAGAGTATCAAGATGGTCGCGATCGGTGTGGTGTACAGTGTTTTAGCATTCGAAAGAATGCCCTTTAGCCATGTTCCATGGCATGCTTAATATCACTGGTAACAGTCTAACAAAGACTGCCTATCAATTCAATACCGGCAAACCGTTTTACCAATTCAATGTTCACCGAAAAAGGATTGTAATTAGATCAGTTTTTTATTACTGGCAGTTTACAGTAATTATCTTCTTATTAATGCGGCCGCATTCAAACTACCAAGAATATAGGACTGAACATTTTTATATTTAAATAGTATTGTATGTACGTATTTAGACTAAATTTTTATAGCTGTTGTTTTGTTGTACATATAATTGCAATAAATAATTTTAAAATTATTTGAGCAATATTTCTGCAAAATCTTTCTACCGGCGTTTTTTTTCAGATTGTAGCGGTGTTAGTTTTTTGTTGATTGGAATTTATTGGGCACGTTTTTCAGCAACTGTTCTGCGTACGAAAAAAAATAAACATTTAATCGGTTAAAATGTCCCAAATATTTGTCCCATGAATCACCACTTGTTGAGCCGAAAAACGGCGAATTATTGTGAAGAAAATTGTGGCACTTGTTGCGGGCGGTTGAATAGTGGTTTGTTTGTGTGGTTGGAGTAGCTACAGATACCGCAAAACACGATGCCTCCTCAACCGGATACATGGTTAAATACCGGTGCACGCCAAGCTCTTATTTTGTCAATGTTACATATTATTATATTTATTGGGTGGAAAAATGGTGAAAATGGCCGAATGTGTGTTTGATGGGCAGCCGCGGCAGTAGCTCGTTCTGATTTCTCGCAGGCATTCGGCTGCTGGCGGTGTTAATAATAATGTGTACGGATATTTTCTATACATAGCGGTACGTCAGCTGGTGCAGACTGCCGCTGGAATGTGCATTTTTCTCGATATTATTGATATTCAAGCAGGCGTACCATTTCCGTCCGCGCTCACACCGACGAACCGGTGGGCGGGACGCTGGCCATGCTAGACATCATGGCGCCACAACTGACTCAATTGTCTCCGCAGTTTCGTATATCCGAACGCGCGTACGATCATGCGGCAGTGCGCCGGTCACAGGGACGGTGGCGGGATGCGTACTATTTAGATTTTTCTAGCGGCATTTATTTAAAAAAAATTTATATTTAACCTGTGCTGTATCCGGTCAAGCCGGTGTGACCTTTATTCAGTGACAGTTCTAAAAACATTATCCCTCACGAAAATTGGTCAAAATCTAGTTTCTTGTAAATTAGATAGCGATTGAAGCAAAGATTGAAAAAGGCAATATAAAAAGGATTTTAAGTGATTTTTAATTTAGTGCAGTGGAAGAGAAAAATTAGTTTTAACACGGCATGTATATTACGAGGTTCAAATTAAAAAATATTTGTTTTGTTTTTTAATATTATTAATAAATACTTCCACTTCCAGTGAAAAAGTAGAACTATTTAGTTTTGTTAATCAATGAGAAGCAAATGTGGACTGTAAAGGCTTTACGTGTTTTTTAGGCGCTCGCTTATCAGCCACTACACTACGATAATACATATAGTGAATGTTAGTTGCTACGTTGAGCTTGCTACTTATAAAAAAACGCTGATGCCTTTACTTAAAAAATTTAGCGCCTTTAATAAATAAATTTAATTTGTGTTAATGAAATTTTTATGCATTAAATTTAATAATTTCAAGTAGCGGAAATCTGCGCTGGCGTATATGAAGTGTCCTTGCTAATGCCGAACACAGATTATTTTAACTAAAAATTGGTTGGTCCAACAGGTTGCCGGATTAAACCATCCGGAACCTAGAGCCATTTTTCCTTAACCACAACCATGTGGCCCCGCGTCAACCTCCTGCACCAGGAATACTCCTCCATAATATTCCTCAGTCTGCACACCCTCCTGTCCCTCGTCTGCCCCGGTGTCCCGACCGACTTCAGCTTCCTCTCGGCGGACCCGGCGCCGCCGGACCCGGCACCCGCCCTGCGTCTGACACCCACGTTAATCAGCAACGTCGAATCCAAACTGCTGACCATGCTGGGCCTGACCATCCGGCCGCGGCCTCGGACAAAGGTCACCATCCCGGCGTACATGCTGCAGCTGTATCGCGAGCAGCTAAAGGTCAACGCCGATCCCGATGAGGCAGCGCGCAGCCGGAAGAAGGGCAAGAGACCGCTGCCGCCGCCGGCTAATACAATTCGTAGTTTTACGCATCAAGGTAAAAAAACCGGATTTTTTGTCAGTACTAGTAGCACTGATTATTTTAATTTAGTGTTTATATTTACTCAAGGGAAGTTGTAATTGTTGCCAAAAATATTTGCTCCGCACTAGCACATACAGTTATTAGAAAGAAAAGGTTTTCAAAAAATCTGCTAAAAATGTTTTACGTGTTTTATAAAATTCTTGCATAATATTTGGCGATTTTGATTTACACACATCTTCACACAATTAAGGCCCCATTTCGCTGCTAGCCATCACACTACAATATCGTTGTTCAAAAAGTGCTTTTTTTCCGTTCCTACGTAGTACTGCTTTTACAAAATTTAATTGTCATTGAGCGAGCTTAAGAAAAGCGGACAACCGGGCTGCTCCTGCGCTATATAAACCGGTAGGAATTTAATTATTTTTAACTTATAAATTTTACGTTGTAGTATTTAAACCATATATATTGCCTATTAAAATAAATTGTTCCGCAGATTTGGGGTTCCGCATTGAGTACCGATACTAAAGATTTGTCGGAATATGCTGTTAATTCAAAGCAGTATTATTTTCTCAGATTAATTTTGCAACTTGAACTGCCGTTATACTTGCTCTACTACTTTGTGTGTAGAAAATTAGAAATACGAGGACAACGACAATGTACGAGTAGTCAGTTGCTGTAATATGCAACGTCTGCCGGCTTGCTGTGCTGTAAAGTTGATTGTATGCTCTAGCTTTCAGTGCCTTGGTTTAATTACAGTGCTAATTAGTCGGCGTGCCTTTGCTACGTATTGACACCCTAACTTTAATTAACGTTTTATCGGCAATCAGCGGCCCGTGCTCCAATGCTAGCCAGACAATTAATCCGCAATCACCACTGGCTAATTATTCCCTCGCGCGTATCCTTGTACTTGTCCACGTGTACGACATAAAACTTTTTTTGTATACACACAGCCGCTAATTAAACCCCGGTCGTATAACAATCATCGTTTGTATAGAACCGGACAGCACCAGCGGCTTTCCAGCCGTTGAGCACAGCGAGCACCTCCTCTTCAACCTGTCCACCATCCCCGCCGACGAGGACATCAAAGCGGCCGATCTGCGTCTGTACGTGCCGCACAGCCCGCACACGCCCCGCCTCCTCTTACAACTGCACCAGGTGCTGCACGCCGGCGACGGCATCACCCGCCCGCTGGACAGCCAACTCCTCGACGTCGGCAACCGTTCCCGGGTGGTGACCTTTGACATCCTCCCCGCGGTGCAACACTGGCGGCACTTCCCGGCGGAGAATCACGGTCTGCAGGTGGACATCCTGACCCCCGACGGCCGCGGGGTGTGGTGGGAGGTCCAGCACCCGGAGGAAAATGGTGTCGACATTGTCAACCCGCTGCGGAAGCGGAGATTCACGCGGGCCACCGGGGGGTCCGCGGAATTGGTCAGTCCGCAGCACCCGCCCCTGATGGTGGTGTACAGTGACGATCCCCGTGGGGGGCCAGCCAAACCGAAGCCCCGGCGTCCGGGCACCCGCCCCGGGGGGTCCGGGGCCGGGCGTAACCGCGATCCGTGCCGGCGGCAGAATCTGTACGTGGATTTCAGTGATGTGGGGTGGAATGATTGGATTGTGGCGCCCCCCGGGTACCAGGCGTACTACTGTGCCGGGCAGTGTACATTCCCGCTGCCGGACCATCTGAACGTGACGAACCACGCGCTGGTGCAGACGCTGGTCAATAATGTCAATAAACAAGCTGTGCCGCAGGTCTGCTGTATCCCCACGGAGCTCAGCCCCATTAGTCTGCTGTATCTGGACGAGCATGAAAAGGTCGTGCTGAAGAATTATCAGGATATGGTCGTGGAAGGATGCGGATGCAGATGATCACGCCGGTAATTTCTCCTCTACCTTTACTTTTTTCCTTTCTCCGCCTTAATTTTTTCAAAAATGAACTGCAAGCAAATAGAAAAGTACTAGTAAGTAAAAATACAGTAGATAAAAATTTGCAAGCACTGAAAAATAGTGAGAAGCAAATTTTATGGAGAATAAATACTAATATAAATTTTGTGAAAATGAAATGAACATCTATGTACATACTAATATTTTATGGCGTAAGACTTAATACTCCTGCAAAGAATTAAATAATTATGAAGACCTTCGGCTGCCGAATAGTTGAACTAAAATGAATTTATATGAAAGTACAATGCAAGTGGTTTATTTTGGTTTATAGATGGTTTATAGAAAATAAATGGTAGAAACGGTTTATAATTTTATATGGAAATACATGGTTTATTAAATGGTTCATTTATATGGTTTATTTTATAGCTTTTGAATTATATTTATGTAAAACAGTAACAGTAAAATTTGATTTAAAATGGTGATCGTGAAAATTGCTAATATACGTAATTGCGTACAACCGTACGACTAAAATACGAGAAATACTAAAAAATTTAAATCAAGGTTTTTTTCTATTTTTAAATTTTATGTGACAACTGAAGTTATATTGAGTATTTTTATTTTTTATAGCTTTTCCACCGCTGTTGATGCACATGACTCTATGAGCACGGACACCCCGGGCGGATGCCCGTAGTGGAGCGGAGCTCTCGGACATTCGGCCGCGATATGACCGGCACGTTCAACCATCGGTGTGACAGCGTGTGCGATCGACCTGTGCAGCAGATTAACTATGGAGTTTTGCCAATTGAAACTGTGCTGGCCCGGTTAAACCAGAGCGTCGATGTTGTGCCGGATGACTATTGATCTCGGGGGAATTTTTTTGTTTGTTATTTTTCCTTCCTTCTTCGGGAGTTGGATCTGTATACCAAAGTCGGCGGGGAACTTTTTTGGACGGGAGACAAATAGCATGTCTTTATACTCGAGGTCATCGATGAGCGTTTTTTAACCATCGCTGCGCTGTAAATTGCGTTTTTCCATAATTACGGCAGCTTGATGCGCGTACCGGCAAATGTGCGCAAAATATATATCGCAGATATAATCGATGCTTTATATACTGCATTGCCAATTTGTTTTTGAACGACGGAGGTTGCTATATTATTCTAATGATGTTTAAAAGGTTTCTACGATTTACCCAGATTTAGAAATAAAATAATCGAATGCTACAATGCATCCGGGAATACAGGAAGTATTTTTTAATAAACAATCACAGTCTGCAAACCGAGTAGAAAAAATTTCGCTGCCAAAATTGCGGCAACAAGCAAATTGCATAAAATTCACACAGTGCAAATTCATCGAATCTGCGAAAGGCAGTCACTGTGTTACAAAACCAAACTATAAGAACTATTCACTAATAATATTCAACAATTTAATCAATAATTAATAATTTTCAAAATATATAAAATATAAAAAAAATAAAATATAGTATAATATAATAAAATATATAATAAAATAAAATATAATATATAAATTGGGAATATAAAAATCAGGCGAAGCCGCGATAGCACGATCCTTATTTCTTTACAAATACTTGGGCTGTTCGGTAGAACCGTAGATAGTATACGAAAATCAATACGAAGTATGTATTATTAAAGATAAATTATTAATACAAAGGACGCTCCAAAAGTTTCCCTATTTTGTATCTCCCAGCACAGAGGCCTTTAGCTCTTATTATCCATATAGATATAAATGGCCTTCACCAAGGAACCGAAGAAAAATATGACTCAGTTTAAGTACAATCAAATGGAAAAGAACTGCCAAAAAAACCATCGACCACTTTTTGCACTTGTGCCACGGATTTTACCAGGACCGTTTTTGCAATTTTTCTCAAACATCCTCTTAACTTTTTGTAACGCACTAAGCGTCCTCAAGTTGAGTATACTTCTCTCTTCTAATCTCAATTAATAAACAAAAGAACTTACTCATACTGTTTTTCTGGGAAAATAAAATCTATCGATGACTAGGAGCAAAACCCACAAAGCTGCTCTACTTCCAGACGATGGAAAAATCAAAATTTCATGAAAAAAAATTATTGTCCTCGCTGTAACTTAAAGTCAGTTGGTATCTTAGATGCGCATAACTGCGCATAAAATGTTCTTTTCAGTGATGCAAAGAATCTAGAATTCATAGGAGCGAGAAGGCTGGATAAGACAAAATTTGGTGTCTCAAGTAAAAAAATTTTTACTCAAACTCCTGAACTTTCCAAGATGATTTGCGACTAGAGAAATATTAAGCATACTATTTGCTATTAACACTTTAAATTCACTGTCGAAAACCTGACTGGGGCGGAAGTGATGCAAGAATGAATGGGGTTTTAAAAAGTCCGTGGACAAATTGAAAAAGCGGTACGAGCCATTTTATTTCTCCTATCTCCCGTTCTTCATCAAACCATTTGCTTCTTATTTTCCTGTTTAGTTTACATAATTGCTTATTTGACAAAAAATACGAGGTATATCAGGTGTATATTACCTCAGATGACAGGGAGGCAAAATAGCGAAACTTACTTTTGGAGCGTCCTTTGTACAATGTACAAGCCTTTAGTAGTGCGGCATTCAGTTGTCTCGTTTCTCTGGCAGACTGCCTTCTGCTGCACCGGGGATCGCCGCGCTACGCCACGATATTAGCCTGTCTGTGTCATTGTCCGCCAATCGGTCTCTCTGTCCTCTCATGTGGATGCTGTCTCTATCTCTCTGTCGTCCTTTCTCTTTCTCGAAACGGATTTTATATCCGGAAATAAATGATCTCAGAGCGGTCCATTCGCCAGCAGAATTTCCGCTTTTGTGTTTTTACCATTGGCGATTCGATCACAGCGACCCTGATTCCTTTTGACTTGCTTTGTTTGACATTATTTTTCTCGTTACTGAATACCGTCCCAGATCCTTTCTGACACCATTTTTTATTCTTTTCCAACTTTTATAACATCTCGAGTATACCGTAGTACAGCGCAACTGCGTAGCCGTGATTTGTTGTCCTGCTGTCGATTCTGCGCGCTTTCCACCGTTTTCCCGTAGTCCCGCGATGGCCCGCAAACGCGGCACCCTTCGCCTGACAGCACCGCACGCCCGCAAACGCAAATCCCGCGCCAAGCAGCCCGTGGCCCCCGCTGTGGAGGAGACATGGTCCGTCGAGGACATCCTCGATGATAAAGCTGTCGTGAGCGGGAGAAACAAAACTCACGAGTTCCTGATTAAATGGCGTGATTGTCCGCCGGAGCAGAACAGCTGGGAGCCCCTAGATAATCTCCTGGCGGGGGAGTGGAACCCCAAGGAGGAGGTCATCGATTATCTGGAGGCCAAGTACAAGGGCGGCATGGTACTGCTGGAGGAGCTGCCGGGGAAGGGGTCCAAAGGAAAAATCAAGTATTCCATTGTGACGAGGGAGAAACAGCGGGAGATGCAGCGGAAGGGGACGCTGGATAAGGAACTGAAGGAATCCGTCAAAGGTACGCATGCAGAGGAATTTTCCCATTTTTTAAAAATTTTTCCGCATTTTTTGGGGGGTTTGGTTGTTTTTTTTATTTTGGAAATTTATTTAATATTGCTGATTTGTGTAATTTTTTGGAATACCATGGAACGCGTTTTTGCTTCACAAGATTCACAATTTTACAGCGCTTTTATTTTGCGCTTTGTTGTTTTATCGATAATTTTGTTTAGAGAGAATATTGTATGCGAAAATTAATTTTTAAATACGGATCCAGAATTATTTTGGCCATTATTTTGTTTTCATGATTTATTGGAATTTGTTATACTACTGATCTATTTTGGATTATTGGAGTTTATATTTTTGAATGCGGTCTATTTTTGTGTGCTGTTGCTGCTGAAAGTTCTGAATTTTTAAAATAGATTAATTATCCTTTTTTTGAAATATTTTACGTCTGCGCGCATAATTTTCATGTGACGGCACCGATGCTCTAAGCATTTTGTGTATTTTTTATACAAATTTCCGGAAAATGTCGCCTGTTCTTTTTTATAACAGTACGCAAATAAATCTTATTTGCGTACTGTTAGAAGCTCTTTTTTTATTTATTATTTCAGTATTTATTTGTTATTTTTTATTGCTATTTTTATAGAAATTTCCTCGAAGAAATCCGCGACCAAACGAGCGGCCAGTAGTTCTTCGGAACGACTGCGCGAACAGCACCGTGTCGAGCTGGGATTGCGCGCCGATCCGAAACCGCGCAGCAACCTGCTGCCCGAGAGCATCGTGAAGCGTCCCACGACGGCGGCCCGCCGGACATCCCGCGTCCCGATTACGGCGCCATCCGCTGCGGAGTCACGCAAGCGCAAACCGGACACGACGGATGACGAGTCTTCGGCGTCGGACACGAGCTCCGTGCAGATTCTGGGATCGGTCAGCAGCTCCAGTTCGGTGCAGATTATCGGTCAGTACTGGAAAAAATTTGCAGTTTTATCGTTTTAGAAAATCTTATTGCTAAATTAATAAGAAAATAAATAAATAGATTTATATTGATTTAAACAGCTATTAATCTAGTGTGAATAAGAAGTTGAATTTAATGAATTTGAAATTTAATAATTTTAGAAATTTGATTGCTAAACCATTAAGCAGAATAAATAAATAGATTTATATTGATTTAAACAGATATTAATCTAGTGTGAATAAGTTGAATTTAATGAATTTGAAATTTAATAATTTTAGAAAATTTGATTGCTAAATCATTAAGCAGAATAAATAAATAGATTTATAATGATTTAAACTAATAATAATATAATGTGAATAAATTGAATTTAACCGTGATAATGTTTCCAATATGGACTATGTAGTAACCAAACAACCCAAATAATTTTGGTAATTATCGAAATTTTTTCGACTACCGTATGATAGTGGAGTTTCTTTGTTTCGTTTCTGCGTTTCTTGAGATTCCAGTAAAGTGGGTAATGGTCTCGAAAGTAAAGAGGTAGAATTTAATACTGGAAACCAGTGCAGATGATGAAACGTTGAATGCGGAAGTGAAAAATAGACGATAATCAATAAGTAAAAATGCAAAATACGATAATTAGCGGCTGTACCGTAATAAGCATGTTCATGTCATACTTAGGAGGATGTGTCGTAGTGTAAGGTATCCACTATCCCTATGGCTGGTGTATAATACGGTTTCTTAAAGAATGACTTTGGCAAGATAAATCGGTTGCTCTAATCTTTTCCGTATTTGTTTTTGAATTTTTTGAAATTATTTTGGCAGACGATTCCAGTGGCGAGTTGTCGGAGCCCAGTCGCAAGCGCCGCTCCATGCCCGTCCGCGCCGCCGTTCAACGGCCATCATCACCGGAAATCCTCCGGGGCGACCAGCGCAAGAAGCCTCCGCCGCCGTCAGCCGGCTCGAAAGCGGACAAATGGACAGCGGAAGATGAGGCGACCCTACGCGACGGTATGGTGTTTATTCTCCGATTTTATTGTGGTTATTTCGTTTACGATTCGGTCTACGCCGGACGCTAAGGAAAATATTTCTCGGTCTATTTTTGAATATCATGGTGATTCGAAGGAATCACCGTGGTCAGCATTTTCCGTGATATGAAACTGAGAACTGATCAGTTAAAATTCAGATGGTCAGTGAATTTATTGCATGAGTACTGGTAACTTAATTAATTATTGTTTGCTTATTAATTCGATCGGTGTGCGAAGCCGATGTCGTGATTTGATTTTATTTATTTTTTTGGTATTTAGGAAACTTTATGTTGCTAATTTTCAGTTTGTCTTTCTAATTTAAAACATTAATTGCCATTTATTTCTGCGTATCGGATTATGGCGGAAATTCTCTGTTCGTTTAATTCGCTATTTTTCGATAATGTACAGTACCAATATGCTGTTTTTTCGCGCGTATATTCATCGGCTATTTGTGCTACATCTGCTGATACGGTATTTATTTGTGAATTTATATTGTTTATTTACGTAATTTAAATTTCATTAATTTATTTAATATGGATTGCCAGTAGATAATCCGTATTCCAGTTTTGATTTGTATTTATTGTATTATTTGTATACGTAATTTGTTAATCAATATGCGCATTAACGAGCACCACTCAGTATATACAGTCAGATAAATGTATTTATTTGATAATTAATGTATTTATTTGATAGTTAATATTATTTATTTATTTAATATGGGCTGTCAACTGCTATTCCGATTTTAAAATGAAATTATAGATCTGTTTCTATCGGACGACGAATCGGACGCCGACTCGGAATCCGACTCCGACGCCAGCGAACCGGAAGCGTCCCAAACCGACGCGGCCGTCATCGCCGGCCCGGGACCCTACAAAATCATCGACCACGAGGAGCCGGTGACGGGCGGCGGGCGCGCCTCCCCCTCCACCTGGATGTACACCGTCCTGCTGTGGCCGGCGGGCTGCAAGGTCCCGCCCAAGGTCCCGCCGGCCCGCCACACCTACGCCTGGTGCGAGCAGGAATACCCGCTGGCGCTGCAGGCCTACCTGCAGTCCGTGTTGCGCTGTGAAGAGCAGCGCCGGCAGCGGATGCTCAAGGAGAAACAGCAGAAGCGCGCCCGCCGGGTCCGCGAGGAGGCCGAGGAGATTGTCAAGTTTGCCGCGCTGGAGGGCGGCTATGAGCTGCTGCTGGAGTTTATGGAGAAGGGACAGACGCCGGGCGCCGTGACACTGTGAGTGCGGAATTTTGGGAATTTTTTTCATTGATAAAAATCGATAGGTTTTCACCCTGTTATTTGCAATAGTTTTGGAAAATTAATTTTAAAATTAAATTTGAATAAATTGATTTAATTTTAACTTATCTATGTTCAGATTGAAAATGGGAATTTTTTCACCGGACACCGGGTGTGCCTAAATTTAGATACATACTTAATTTTTAATTACATTCGTTATTGTAAAGTAAATTTGATTAAATTAAGTTTAGTTTATCCCGGTTTATTGGAATTTGTGTTTACATTCTTTACGTTAAAATTTTATTTTACCCGGGTTTTAATTTTAGAAAATTAATTTATAATTTGACAGCTGCAAAACTCGAACGGATGGACATGTAACGTGGTAAAATTAGCATTTTTAAATCTGTTTGTACGCTTTTTGTGATGAAATTTGGATTGTGTTCTTGCACGGATTGTAGTGTGATGTTTATGCCGTGCCCGTAATGTTATTCATTTCAGAAAATCGAATAAAAATATAGGTAAAACCGGAATTTTGTGTAAAATTTCATTCCGTAAAATTCCCAGTTATTCAGTGTTCTAAGGGTAATCTTTCGAAACTATATCGTTATTCGTTACAGTTTCGCTTAAAATTTATACGAATCGGTACGATTTGAATTCTCCTGCACATCTTTTTTAATATTATTTGCGGAAATTATTTTTTAAAAGCTTCCTGAATATTTTATTTCCTTATGATTTTATTTATTGCATTTTTGACTTTTGATATCTTCAGATTTTAATCTTTGTTGCATCTTTGTTCAGCGTTATTTTCGCTGAATTTGATAATTTCAGGGATGATTTTCCCGCGTTCCACCGGAAAGTGGACGCCGTTATGCGGCAAAACCAGCAAGGAGCAGCGGGATCCTCCAAAACCAACGCGTAGATCGATACTCACCCGTTTTTAAGGAAATTTCCACATTTTACATTTTTATAGATTTGAACTTTCGCTATAAACTGGTTTTTAATTCTCTAATTCGGAATTGAATTTTTTACATTATATTGGAGCTTGTGCGTTCGTTTAGTTTATAGTTGTTCTAAACTTGTACATTTGTGTAACCGTATACGGCTCTAACCCATGATGGAATGCGTTGACGGCATCTTCACTTTTAAATTTCAGGATTTGCAGAGAGTTGCACACAAATAAGCTGTGGAATGGTGAATTTTTAACAGTGATAAATAGCATTCTTTTTCGCTTACTGACAGATCTGATATTCTTAGCGGTTTCTGTGTTTTCTACCATGGATGCGACGGTCCTGGCCTAGACTGTGGATAGAAATAAACTTGGGTTACGTTGATCATGATATGCAAAGTTCAAACCGTAACAAACGGGATAATTTTGTTTATTAAGACTGGTAATTGTATCTAGTAATTGGTTTGATTTTGACCAATGGGAGTGATTTGGAGGCGGACGCGTTGGTATCTGCCGATTACTATGTACAACGAGATTCTTTATCTTAATGGAATTTTTCTCAACAGAAAACACAATTTTTCAGCCAAAAATTAAACATTAAGAAACTTTTGACATTTGTTGGCCCTTAATTATAAATTAATTTTTATGCAGATTCGTCATTATGTACATTCTTCATGGTGTTTAATGATCTTTAATTATATTCACCGTAGTAATGTATTTGATGACCTTTATTAATTAACTACATCAGATTTGTTGACTTCTATTACAGTAATTAATTGCTATGTTGTTTTCGTCATTATGTACAGCCTTCACGGTATTTGTCGACCTATTTGTATTCACCGTCAGCGCATAATGTATTTAGTGACCTTTGTTAATAGCGAATGCGCTTCTTTGGGTTATTCACCAATCACCATAACATAGGTTAAACACAAAATTACGCAGTTCATTATTTCAACACACAACACACTTCATCCAGCCTCTCTTTTGTACTTTTTTTACCGATACAAAACGTTTCCTAGAACACACGCGGCGTTTCCTCGCATTAAAGCAACACTGATTCTCTGCTTCAGAAACTGCATGAGTGGACCGTTTTTGTTGTATCCTCGTAAAAAACATCTTGGACATCTTACATTTCGCTTCTTTACCTCTTTATCAGATTTGTTGGCCTTATTACACGATTAATTATTATGTTATTAATTCGCCTTTATGTACATTCTTCATGGTGTTTGCTGACCTCTTTTTATTAATTATTATTATCTATTTTCACCGTCGTAATTTAGTTGATGACCTTTATTAAATTAAGTATATCAGATTTGTCACAATGACAAATGGGGATAAAATACGTATAAGATCGCATGCCCGGACAAGTGCGGGTGCAACCGGTAGTTTCCTCCAGTTCCACATTTGGCCGAAGACAGTAAAAGCCGTAAAAACGCCCACGTGGAAACGATGGGTTTCCTGTTTTCGCCCTGGCAGTCCAAACTTTTGGCATATTTGGTTCGGATTTTAGGAAGCTCATTCGTTTCGCTGGCAGAAAGATTCGCGACATTAGAGGGGAACCTCGTTCTACTGCTTGTTTTTTGAAGCAGAAATCAGGTCTTGCTGTAGTGAAAGGAAATGCTGCTGCTGTTTTGGGCACTTTGAATTATATGCGTCCAAGGATTTTTGACGGCGATAACGATTTTGGCTGTTTTTTTAAACGTTTAAATTTGTACCATTTTAAACAGTATTACGCGAATGCATTTTTTATACGTCGATGGCCTTCGCCCAATAAAAGTTAAATAGAAATGTAGATGATAGGCTAACATTAGAAAAAGCTGTTGGTTATACAGACTATACGTATCCATGCGGACCACAATTCATTGGTACGTAATTAAAGTACAATAGAAGTATCTTTATTTCTTCACGATACTTTGGCTGTTCGGCATTACAGTATCAAATACCGGTACGTACCATTATTAAAGATAAATACAAGCCTTCGATAGAACGGCGTTGAGTTGTCTCGTATCTCTGGTAGGTTGCAAGCGCCGCAGCCTTGATACACATCGGATCGCCACGCTACGCGACGATATTAGCCTGTTTGTGTCATTGTCCGACAATCGGTCTCTCTGTCCTCTCATTTGGACGCTTTCTATCTCTCTCTCTCTCTTTCTCTCTCTCAATATCTCTCTCTCTATTTCGTATTCGATCTTTCTCGAAACGGATTTTGTATCCGGAAATAATGATATCAGAGCGGCCCATTCGCGTGATCAAGCAGAATTTTCGCTTTTGTTAGTTTTGTACTCTCCACTGACGACCACATGCAGCGACCCTGATTTCTTTTTGCTTGCGTTGTTTGACACTTTTTCTCGCACTGAATATCGTCCCTGATCCTTTTTAGCACCCCTTTGTAATTGTTTTCCAACTTTTCTAACATCCCGAGTACACCGTACTGCTGCAGTGCAACCGCAGTCGTGATTTGTTGTCTTTCTGTCGTTTCTGCGCGCTTTCCATCCTTTTCCTGTAGTGAGTGTAGTCCCGCGATGGCCCACGCCGAGCAGCCCGCGGCCCCCGCAGTGGAGGAGACATGGTCCGTCGAGGATATCTTAGATGATGAAGCTGCCGCGAACGGGACCCACGAGTTCCTGATCAAGTGGCTCGGTTGTCCGCCAGAGCAGAACAGCTGGGAGCCCCTGGATAACCTCCTGGCGGGGGAGTGGAACCTCCGGGATGCCATTATTGACTATCTGGAGGCCAAGTACAAGGGCGGCATGGTGCTGCTGGATGAGCTGCCGGAGAAGGGAACCAAGGGAAAAATCAAGTATTACATTGTGACGAAGGAGAAACAGCGGGAGATGCAGCGGAATGGAATGCTGGATGTTTATGGCAAAGGGACAGACGCCGGGCGCCGTGACACTGTGAGTACGGATTGTTTTGTTTTTCGGATTAAAATAGAACGGTTTTACCGGTTTTTCTAATTTTCGAAATTATTTTTAAAATTCAGTTTACATATTAATTTATTTAAATTTGATTTTTTAATATTTATTTTTACCGGAGTATTTTAGACAGTTAATAATGAAATTTAATTTGTTCCGTTGATTTGAGTTTACATACAGATTTTTAATGGTAAGATATAAATGTGTTTACCGGGGTATTTAATTTTAGAAAATTATTTTCAAAATTAAATTTATGTATCTTAATTTATTTAATTTTGATTTTTGAATTTTGATGTTCTTACCCAAGTGTTTAATTTTAGAAAATTATTTGGAGTTTATATTTGAGTAATTTATCTGTTTTTAGTTTATTTGAATTTACGTTTGTATTTGTAATGTTAAAATACAAATGTTTTTGCCCTCTTGTTTAATTTTAGAAAATTAATTTTGAAATTTGACAGTTGCAAAAATTCCAACAGATGGAAATCGAAAACAGTAAAATCAGCTTTATGCATCCTTTTTGTGGTGAAATTTGGGCTCTGTTTTTGCACGTATCATAGCGCTAAGTTTTGCCGTAAAGTGAAAGTAATTTCATTAGTTCCAGTCTCGTACAAACGGAATTTGTGGGGACTTAAATTCGTAGTTATGCTTCTTTCTAAATTTAATTAATTCTTGCGAAATTAAATCGTTACAGTTTCGGTTAATATTAATATGACTGTATCCGATTTAAAATTGTTCTATACATCCATTTTTATTTGATTCGTGGTTTTTTCAAAAATTATTTGCTAAAATTAATTTTTATAAAAGTTTGCTGATTATTTTATTAGTTTTTTTTGCTATAGTTTCTTATTTTATTTAATCAAATTTTTGTTTCATTTGTGCTTTTGTTTGTGGCGTTTTGACGTTTCATGTTCTTCAGATTTTTGTTTTTATTGCATCATTATCCAGCGTTACATTTACGGTTAGTTGAATTTGATAATTTTCAGGGATGATTTTCCCGCGTTCCACCGGAAAGTGGACGCCGTTATGCGCCAAAACCAGCAAGGAGCAGCGGGATCCTCCAAAACCAACGCGTAGATCGATACTCACCACTTGTGAAGAAAATTTCCGCATTTTACAATTTTATTAATTTGAAGCTTTCGTTGAAAACTGGTTTCTCATTTCTCTAATTCGGAATTGAATATTTTTTGCATTATATTTCAGCTTGTGCGTTCGCACAGTTTATAGTTTACTAAACTTGTACAGTTGTGTAACCGAATACGGCTTTAACCTGTGATGAAATGCGTTTACAGCATCTTGACTTTAAATTCTGAGGATTTGCATACAGTTGCACACGAATAAGCTTTGAAATGGTGAATGTGTAACCGTGATAAATAGAATTTTTTTCGCTTACTGACGGGCCTAATACTCTTAGCGGTTTCTATGTTTTCTACGTTGGATGCGACGGTGAATAGAAATGAACTTTGATTGTGGATAGAAATAAACCTGGGTTACGTTCAACGTTGATATGCAAAGTTCAAACCATAACAAGCGGGATAGTTTTGTTTATCGAGTGGTTTATTAATTGGTATTTTGCTTGATAACTTAGTGGTACATACTACATAGTTAGTGATTTTAGAGGCGGACGCGTTAGTATCTGCCGATTACTTTGTACGACAAGATTCGTTATCTTAATGGCATTTCTCTCAACAGTGCAAGCGCGCGGAAGATTCTTTTTCAGTTTACATTAAACGTTAAGAAATTGCTCACATTTGTTGGCCTTTATTAATTAATTTTTCATGTAGATTCGTCACTAGATACAGACCGTGCAGTTATCATGGTGTTTATTGACCATTAATTATATTAATTTTACCGGCCGTTGCATGTATTTGACGACCTTTATTAACTAATTACATCAGATTGGTTGGACTTTATTAACTAATTAATTATTATGTTATTTTCGTCTTTATGTACATTCTTTATGGTGTTTGTTGACCTTTATTTATCATTAAATGTTTTCACTGTCGTAGTGAGTAGTTGATGACCTTTATTGAATTAATTACATCAGATTTGTTGGCTTTGTTAATTAATTATTGTGTTATTTTCGTCATTATGTACATTCTTATATTCATGGTGCTTCTTCCTTTATTTATCGTTAAATATTTTCGCCGTAAAAATGTAGTTGATGACCATTTTTAATTAATTACATCAGATTCGTCACAATGGGCATAAAACTGAAATGGCAGATGCATGATAGGTTAACTAATGGATACCGCTGTTAATTTTCCCCTTTCGCATTATTGGATTAATGTCCGTAGCGTACAGTACGTCTGTACGACCAACTATTCTCAAGTTAACTTAAACTTTCCCCATCAATAAGCAACATATGAATCATAGTAATATCGGTACATCGATTTAGACGTTTACTCAGATGGAAAACGTATGGATCACAATCACCCTTAAATCAGTGTTTTTTTGTCTTGAAAAAGACAAAATTTGTCCTGGAATTATTCTGTCGTAACCCGGCAAAAATATCTAGGTAAAAATACTGCTTTTTTCTCTTGAAACTCTTTGCGTCTGTCTCCTAAATTTCTGTACTTTGTATTGGAATACTAATTAGTTATTTGAAGACCCTTTTGTGTACGTAGCCATTTTTCGTATTTAATCAACAGGAATTTACTGACGGTTTAGATTCAGTAGTTGTTGGGGATGAGTGTATGGAAAAGTTTTCGACTGACAGAAATTATACCGGCAAGTTGGCAACGAACATGTCAGTAATCCCGCTTTGCATATCTTTTCTGAAAAATGCATTTTTCCTCCTCGGTGGACAACTGCCAGTTTCTATATGTCACCCAACCATCCACACCAATTTCGTTTGATAGCACTGAGCATCCAGTTCGATTGTCATGCAGTTAGAGAATACCGGTACATTGTGCGCAGTTTTAGTACAACGATTCGCAATTGCTACTTCCCAAAACAAAGAAATAGGTATTAATTTGTAATAAGATACGTACTGCTGCACTGGCCAGGCGGTGTAAATAATTTTTTGCCTGAAAGAGTCAAGGATAGACACGGATGCTGTCAGTTTACATGCATCCCAATAAATACCATCAGTTAAATTCCTTGCCGCGTGCCGGATAATTAGTAGCATTGGAAAACAAAGGGAAATCAAGAATTTCCGTGTTGGTGCAGCGCGGTACGAAGATTGCGCTCGACTGAAACATCAAGTTTTGTCGAACGCATTCACTAACAACTAACAAGTGCTGCACCCGCAATGGAACTGTATGATACACGCAGCCGTTGGGATGTCACTCTGTGTGAATCCTGATAAGAGACTTTTTTTGACATCAGTGATGTACGCGTACGTGCCCCTTTGCTATGACATTGCGTTTTCAGCTATGAACCGTTGAATGTCTTCTGTTGATTGACCATAACGATTAATGAATATACAAGTAGAAACATGCCTAAATAATAAAATAAATGAATTACAACTTGCGCGGTGTTCTTTTATCTTTATGTATAATATGAACAATGTATATGTTGTTATATTATAGAGAGGTTTATTGTGTAGATGAATATAGATGAATTTAGCTTTACCACCGGCAAACTATCAGATAATCAAGCATTTCTGTTGGATTGATTGTGTTAGTTTGAAGTACTGCATACAAAAGCGGACCGTTTCAATGGATGCATAATTATAAGAAGTACAAAGTAGTACAATGTTCAGTAATTAACGTTATCGATTAGCATTTCGCGGCGCTAATGAAAAATTTCATCTGCCTACTGTCGCACTTACAGTGTCTTATTACGTAATAATTATTACTTACAGTGCCTTGTTACAATTTACAAAGTAAAGTATACTCTGTAAATTTTAATAATTTAGCTGCTACAGAAATAAATCAGCTAGCGATATCGCTTTTATTGTGCGCACTCTGTCTCTCTCTCTCTCTCTCTGAGTCTGAAGGAGATTAATTTAAGTAATACTTAATTTGGCGCTACCATTGCTACCGGGAGTTTTTTGGAATGCAATAAAATATATTATAATTACATCTTTGGCTAAGCTTCTGGCTAGCATGCAGGGAAAAAAATAAGGTGATTTGCGCTTATGCATAATTACAGTGTTAAGCGCACACATTCCGTAATCAATTACGGAGTACTACGCATAAAAAACAAGAATGCCCAATCTTTCAGGGTGTAATACAAATTTTTTTAGTAATAGGGTCGAAGTATCGCAATTGACTTAGCTTCTACGTATACACATTAACTCGTGCAAATGATGCTCGTACATCTTCAACAAGATTAATTAATCTTGTAAGTTTATGGGAAGCTGTAGAAGCTTAAGGTGAATTTGCTAGCTAAAATTATTTTAGTATTTTTCGAATGAAATTTGCCGAATCACGACAATATTCATGCTGAACGAGATAAAATTATAACTATCCAGGCGTTATCAGTCAGCGCTGAAAGCGATTTGCATGAACCGACATGCAAACCTGTGTATCGGATGCGGTTTTTTGTGAATCACTCATCCGAAACATATAAAACTGTCTTTCCATATAAATGTTATTAATAGGGTTTCGAAAAGGCGGTCATACAGACTGTACGTATCCACAGGACCACGTATAATTATTTGGTAATTAAATTGTCAGGCATACAAAGTTAATGACAATAAACGAAATTAATGCATTTGCGATTTTCACATTCACAATACGGGCAGTGGGCGGCCTCTGGACGCCGGCCGATCTTCATGAAGGGATCCAAGAATCCGGCCGGAAATGAAATGGGTGCCGGGCCGAAGCCGACGATCACGATTGGGTTAATCAGCCCGGAATCCGGGCTAATTAACCCATAAACCGTCGGTCGCGCGCGCGCGCGCCTGGACCGTGTGACGCATCGTATGACGGCGGCGGGACTTAAATATTCACGATCACAGGAGTCGCGGCTCTGGTTGACCAATGAATTAAGCTTCACGTTTACAATTAAGCGAGGTGCTTCAGGAGCTTTGCACCCGGAGTCCGTTAAGCTTAACGGACGGCGGTTCCGTCAATCCGGGGAATAATAGCGTTTCACGAATTTCCAGGTAATACCGAGAGATTTTGGTGCAATTAATAATAAGAAACCCAATAACAACATTAATGGCAAATCATGGCGATGGCACTGATGGAAAACATGGCGCTAACAGAATTCGAAATAATATTACTATAATAATTATTAGTATGTATTTCGAATGCAGTTAACGCCATGTTTTCCACGGTAAATAATCCGCCCATTTTTAATCTAATTTCCAGTACGATCGTTTGCTAATTAAACAAGCGAAAATGTAAGAGATGCACAAATAAAATATTACTGCAAAGTGCAGCGACGATTTTTATAGAGGTTTATTTTAAGTCGCAGTAAGCACAGAATAGTTGATTGAGCGGACAATGCTCATGCAGTGGCGCCTTTATGCTAGGATGTACTAACTGCAGTTTTGCTTGATCATACCGATTTGATGATAGGAGTATCGGTATAATCATTATTACATATCGTATATCGGTATATTTCAATCGGTACATACTATATAGGATACACGGATCGGTATATCTCAATCGATATCTACGTTGTTTACGAAGGCATTACTCGATCGGTCAGCTTCCGGACAGCTGGGACGACAGACAATGGACGGCTAGTTAAAGCGCGCGATAGCGTATCTTATCTTCTTCCGTTGTTCGCACTCACAATACCCGGTACGCGTCGTAATCGCTGGGCAATGTGGTAAGTTGTGGTGGTTCGGAAAAGCATAGTGAAATTTCTGTTTATTAGATCTTAATTGGCAGCTAGGTGAACGTAAACTGTACAGTGACAGTGGTGTTGTCACCGAACAAAGTGCAAGAACAAAGGTGTGCACTGTGAATGAATTTATGGATTGCTTCCTTGAACAACGAGCGATTAATGAAAATGCAAGTACTGTATACTTAAAACTCCAGTTGTATTTTCCAAGTAGTGTTGTTTTTGTACTTATTTTTTACGTCTGGGATAAGATAATAATGTAATAATTTAATAATTATATTAATTTCGTTAATCACGCGGTTCATTCAGGCATCTGTACTGCATGGAGCGCAATTACGTATACAAATTATACTGCAACTAAAATTGCGGCACATCTAAAGTGTTTTACTGTATTTTAGTGCTTTACTGTATTTTTAGTGCTTGCCGGTAAGGATGGCAAGTTGTACGTGGAAATGTACCTTCGATAAGACCACCCATTAAAATCTGCCATGTTCCGTGATTCAGTTTAATTCTGTACGAGTACTACTAGTGCTTAAATTACCAGCGGTCCAGCATTATTAAGTATCGTAGTAAACATTAATTATCGGAGACATTAATCAGCTTATCGTGTAGACTAACTTCCCGTACATCACGAATGCGTTTAGTTTGTGTTACGCGATGATTATTGTGATTATTTTTTCTTTAATATTTTCATTCATAGTGATCTTTCAGATTCTGAGTACATATACAGTACGTGAAATACAGATAACAATATTAAGTAAATATAATTAATTAATTGCAGTTTTTGGTATACTACTATTGCATTATCATTGTAGAAGTTAGCTTGGAAAAATAATGAAGTCCCAGGAACCACGGCAGTAAGCTCTACCAAGCTATCGGTGCCGTTCGTGTCCGTCCCGTTGAGATCTAGCGCCTCGTTGTTGTCCATGGGGAATATGGGGACGGATAGCAAACGGCGTTGTTGCGGTTTGCTTTCGGTGGAGTCCGCACCATCCGTCGCGGCATTGCAGCCAGCTCCCTCGGCCACGGTGGGATTGTCCGGACATACATTAATTCGAATAAACTATGGAAAGCGTACTCGCTTCTGGCGGGCACTGCATGACTAAAGCGTAGCAGTAAATTTATAATGTTTTTATCTACAGTACAGCTTAGCAGCTAGAATGCATGTTACAATTATGAAGCGTGTAGAGTAAAATCCTTACACCAGTGAGATATTCCGGCGGGGCAGATGAGAAGTCCGCTGTTCTCGAAGCAGGACAATAGTTCTGGATGGGACATTTTTGGCCATATTGAAAACTTTCCTGTAAACCTACTTGGAGGGAAATACTCGTATTTATGGTCTAAATTATGGTGGTCGTCTCTCTGAGCCGGTGAATTCATGGTTTCACCGATTATACATGTAGGCGTGTTACTGGACATTACTACTTAATGCATTTTCCCAACTTCATCTTTGACGAATTTGGTAGCGTCACGTCTTGTTCGTCTTGCTTGCCCACCTTTTAAGTACCCAACTTGCTCTCCTACTGTACACCACACCTACGTAAAGGTTACAGGCTGCCTAATTTTCAGGGATGATTTTCCCGCATTCCACCGGAAAGTGGACGCCGTTATGCGCCAAAACCAGCAGGGCGCAGTGGGATCCTCGAAAAGTCACGAAAACCAGCGCGTAGATATGATACTCACGAGTTTCGAAGAAAATTTCCACATTTTACATTTTCATTGATTTGAACTTTCGTTATAAACTGGTTTTTAATTCTCTAGTCCGGAATTGAATTGTCTTCATATTACACTGGAGCTTGTGCGTTCGCACAGTTTATAGTTGTTCTAAACTTGTACAGTTGTGTAACTAGCGAATACTGCTTTAACCCATGATGTTACTGCGTTGACGGCATCTTGGTTTTAAATTGAGGATTTGCAATAGTTGCACACAAATGAGCTGTGGAATGGTGAATGTGTAACCGACGTACCGTGATACATACAATGTACGACAAAAAGAGGTTGAACCGATCAGTCGGTCCGCGGTTCAAAATAACCTCGCAACGACACGCCACTAAAACTTGACGCTTACTTTTTGTCGTTGCGCTCGTGAATATCAAAGTGCAGCTATACTAGTTGCATATCAAAGGTGTAGAAACAAATTTTAAACTTTTGATACTAAACCTGTATTGTTTATGGCGAACAGCACAAATTCTAGCCATTTTGCTTTCTCGTAGGCACAGCATAGGATCTGTGCGCATAACCGTTTGGCTTGCAATCAATGCTTAAGTCTATGGGAAAGCAAAATGGCTAGAATTTGTGCTGTTCGCCATAAACAGCCACAGGTTTAGTATCAAAAAGTTTAAAATTTGTTTCTACACCTTTTGATATGCAACTAGTATAGCTGCACTTTGTTATTCACGGAGCGCGAGCGTCTGAAAGTAGTGAGTAAGCGTCCAAGTTTTAGTGGTGGCGTGTCGTTGCGAGGTTATTTTGAACCGCGGACCGACTGATCGGTTCAACCTCTTTTTGTCGTACATTGTAGAATGTTTTTCGCATACTGACGCCTGACGGGTCTAATATTCTTACTTCTTAGCGGTTTCTATGTTTTCTACGATGGATGCGACGGTGCTGGCTTAAAATGTGGATAGAATTAAAACTTGGGTTACGTTGATATGCAAAGTGCCAACCGTAACAAACGGGATAATTTGGTTTATTACGTGGTAATTGTGTTTAGTAAGCGGTTTGCTTTAATTTCGACCAGTGGACGCGCATTACTAACGGGTAACGGCCGATTACTATGTACGTTATCTTCGTTAGCTGCATTTCTCTCAGCAGTGCAAGCGCGAGCACATTACTTTTCAGCTAAAATTACACGTTGAGAAATTTTTGACATTTTTTGACCTGTATTAAATAATTTTTTATGTAGATTCGTCATTATGAACATTCTTCATGGTGTTTATTGACCTTTAATTATTGTCATCGTCGTAATGTATTTGATGGCCTTTAATAATTATTTACATCCGATTTTTTTATCTTATATTAATTATTATTAGCTATTTTCACCGTCGTAATGCAGTTGATGACCTTTATTAAATGAATTACATCAGATTCGCCACAATCACGATGCCAAACGGGGATAAAATAGAATTGCAGATGACAGGTTAACTTTAGAAAAGTCGGTCATACAGACAGCTGTACGTGTATCCACAGGACCACAAATCATTTGTAATTACCGTAATTACCTAAAGTCTCAAGCACACGGAATTAATGACAATAAACGAAAAAATGCACCTGCGCTTTCACATTTCACAATCTGGACAGTGGACGCCGCGGGCCTTCAGTATATACTGAAGGCCCGCCGCCATCCTACGAGGCTGTTTAATTGGCGGTTTATCACAGAAGCCGCGGCTCCTACGATCGGAATCCGGAGATGAATGGAGCTCCCGATCCGCGAAATAAAAGTGGTTAACGATTTTCCGGGTAATATCGAGAAATTTTGGTACATTTAACAAAAAAAATCCTTATAACTGTATAACAACACTATTAATATTATTTCGAATTCAGTTGACGCCAATGTTTTCCGTACGAGTACGGTAAATAATCCGCCCATTTTTAATCTAATTTACAGTACGATCGTTTGCTAATTCAGCAAGCGAAAATGGAAAAGATGCAAAAAATAAAATATTATTGCAAGTGCAGCAACCATTTTTATAGAGGTTTGTTTTAAGGCTCAATAAGTGTACAATAGTTGCTGCAGCGGACAATGCACAGTGGCGCCTTCATGCTGATAATATGTACTACATAACTCCAGTTTTGCGTGATCACACCGATGTGATGATAAGAGTATCGGTATAAATTATAATAATATTATAATTTATACCGATACTCTTTAATCATCACATCGGTGTGATATGTACATACCGATTGAAATATACCGCTCGTATGATTATGTCGGTATATTTCAATCGCTATCTGTACATGTGCCTATACACGTATCGGTATATCTCACATGTCAATTTCCGTTGTTTACGATGGCATTACTCGATCGGCCAGTTTCCAGACACTTGGACGATTGCGACGGACAATGGACAGCTTGGAAAAACGCGCGATAGCGTATCTTATCTTCTTCCGTTGTTCGCACTCAAAGTGCCAGGTATGCGTCGTAATCGCTGGGCAGTGTGGTAAGTTGCGGTGGTTCAGAAAATCGTGCTTAAATTTCTGCTTGTAGATCTCAATTGGCAGCGAGATGAACGCGCGTAAATTGTACAAATGCGATTACAGTGGTGCGGTCAACGAACAAAGTGCAAGAATAAAGTGTGAATGAATTTATGACTGCTTCCTTGAACAACAAGCGATTAATATAACGAAATGGCTACGCGCTACGCGCGAGAGCATCTCACGCTATGAGTTTTGGCTACGCGCGAGAGTTTTCGGGCGGAACGAAATTTAAAATAACAAAATATTATTTACCTTCATACTTTGTAGATTATCATAATATTTGTCATGTCATGACAACCTGTAAATGCTGTAGGAGTCACCTTCGTACACGAAAGTAAGACGTATCATATACTTAGTAAGTAAGCATCATAATATCGAACCGGCATCTCGCACATTGCGCTGACCGGTGTTTCTGTAATAATTAGCCCACACAATGGCACTAGCAATTAAGATAGGCGACAGATTCGAATCCTACGCGGCGGCGTTACGTGCAGTTGAAGAATGGAACGAATCCACTCATCAGGTCTTCATAAATCCCGGTGGCAATGCAAAGACTTCGAAAAGCATCCACTGCACGACATCTTCCCGTACAGTTCAGTGAAACTGGTATGCAAGAAAGCCAGCGTGTATCGTCCTCATCAGCGAGGCTCACTTCCGACGAAAAAGTCTATCACCACCACTCTGAAGAGCGACTGTCAAGCAGCTATCCGTCTGAAGCTGGTCAACGGAATGTTGGAAGTCATCCACGTGCCGGCTGCAGATGACCACAATCACGAGGTGTCGCAGGCGATAGCATAGCACTTCCCGGAAAGGAGACGGCTGTCCGACACGGAGGAGAAGACCGTGGATCAGCTAATCCTCATGCAGTCGCGTGCCACCGAGGATTATTGCGAGCACTGTTAACGCTTCAGGTCGGTCGAGCGGGACAGCCGGCACTGTCATCACGAAAGACATTTTCAACCGGGGGACGAAAATACGCATGGAAAAGGGGCAAGGGCCCGAGGAGCACGAAATTCTCACGGAATTTCTGCGGCAACACAGGCAAAGAGATGCGACCGGCACTTATGATGTAGTTGCGGCGGAAGACGGAATAGATGCGTTGCGTATCGTTTTCGTTCAGACCACTACCATGAAGCAAACGTTCTCTCGCAAACGTTCTCTCGCCACCGGGTTAGCTAAATTCGGAGTGGTTGAGTTCAAAACACACATAGTAGCTCTGCAGCATTACCTGGATATAGCGCGAAGTGAAGCTGTGCCGTTAATTAGTCACCCTGACCTGCTGGCTAAGGAATCGGTACCTGAAACAACTTTAAAGTAGCCGGAAATCCCTGAAGCCGCATCGGAAGGTGATTTGCCAAATCCAGAACCACCTGTCGCAGAAAACTTCGTCGCTCCTGATTTTTCTGCGTTCAGAGTCAGACCTCACGGAACCATTAAACCCAAAGGACGGCCGTCGGAAGGAAGGAAGCTTAATTTCGTTATTTATACTATGTTGTTTTCGTCTTTATGTACTTGCATTCTTCATGTTCATAGTGTTTGTTGACCTTTATTTATTATTTAGTATTTTCACCGTCGTAGTGTAGTTGATGGCCTTTATTAAATTGATTACACCAGATTCGTCATAATGCCCAATTAATGGGGATAAATTAGGTTAAGCAGATGATAAGTCAACTTTAGAAATAGTTGGTCATACAGACAGTACCGGACTGTACGTATCCACAGGACCACAAATCAGTGGTAATCAAATTCTTAGGTACGTATACGAAATTAATGGCAATAACGAAATAATGCACTTGCGCTTTCACATTACACAATCTGGCAGTGGGCGCCGTGGCCGATCCTTTATGACGGATCCAAGAATGGCGCTTTTATTAGCACAAGCCAGTTAGAATACATGAATTGGCAACAAATAGAGAATTACAATAACAAAATTTCTTCTAATTTATCCGCGCCTTCCATTGTCCCCAGCACGGAAGCCGCGTTGCCTCGCTGTATTTCGATCGACAGACGTTGACGTAGGAATTCCTGTGAGCGAGGTTCCCCGGTGTGTTGCTGTAGCCGCTTGCCGATTTCCTTTATTAAAGCAGATGCCGATTTTCCCCAGGGCCCGAACGTTTCAAAGGCTAGTGCTGCAAAAATGTATCTGCCTACAAGATACGCATAGAGTCTGGCTGGGCCGGGCCGAAGTCGACTACTACGGTTGATGGGTCAACCCGGATGCCTATAAACCGCCTAGTTACTAGTATGACGGCGGCGGGGTTTCAATGCACAATCATAGTAGCCGCGGTTGAGCGGCTCCTATGATTGTGAATTGACAACGGCACAATCAGGCGTGCCGAGGGTATACGAGGCGTAGCGTGCCTAGCCATTGTCATTTCAGATGAGAGAATGTGGACTGCACTGGTGTTTTTCCCATGGGCGCATATGCTTAACCTTGCGAAGCGTCTCATCTCAAATGACACAATAGAGCCGAAATCACACCTCATTAGCGATTGTGCCGTTGTCTATTGAAAGCCTGCATCATCCGGATCCGGATGATGCATGCAGTTCCACGCTTAAGCGTGGCGCTTCACGCATCACCCGGACGAGTCTGTTTTAAGAATAACGGACGGCGGTTCCCTCGATCCCGGAAATAATACGGTTTGACAAATTTCCAGGTAATATCCAGAAATTCTGGTACGAGGAGGGAACAAGCATCTTCGGTAGCGCGTTCGAATATTCAAGACTCTTTGA